GGAGTTTCACCGACTCATCATATATATATATATATATTGTCACATAACTACAAACTAAAAGAGCGCATAGTCAAACAGAGCTGCCCGGTAAATCGTAGGCAGAGAGGGAGAAGAGGACAACAAACGAGGGGCTGTGGCAAACTGTTTCGTCGGAGTTTCACCGATTCATCAGGAGGCTGAACCCTCAACAGTCTGCAGAATCCCCTAACTGATTACACTGTGAGTGATAATCCACCTTAACCCTGGCTGTGGTTAAGCATCAACGACTGCCCGACAACTGATACCCTATATATATTATATATATAATATATATGTATATCGTCATGGGCTCTTATCCCTGCCTGCAGTAAGGACCATTTCTTGATTTATGCATGTCATCCTTGCGCAGGGGCCATTTGCTAATGTACCCTTCTCTGTATCGTTCCAATTTTAATGGGTGTCCCGAAGGACTGCCTGCAGTAAGGACACCCCGACTGATGTTCAAACTTCAAAAGAGAAAAAAAACAGATTCTTTTATTTCTGCTTTTATCTGTGATGTAGACATTGAAGGAACTCCTTGGTCATCAAACAGAAACGTGGAGAATAAACATCCTGGGAGAGTGGGCGTTCCATGGGTGTGTGCATCATGTAGACATTCATGGCAATAACCTTCTTCTTTCCCCCCCCCCAAAAAAAAAAAAAAATGGCAGCAACTTTCAAGTTTCAACTGTACACTGTACAAAAAGTAGGTTTTCCTGACAAGTGGATGGAGAAAGGGGACCTTTTTTTTTTTTTTTTTTTTTTTTTGAATGAATTTGCCATTTGGACCATGCCTCGATGTATGGGTGTCATGCTTGAGCAGGGCCCATGCTAATCTTCATTCTATCCTTCCAATTTTCACGGATGTCCTGACGGGATGGGGCCCAATTTTGAAAGGTCATCAGGGTTTGAGTAAACACAGGTGGACTGAGATTTGATTGCTGCCACTGCCTGCCAGTTTATAGAAAGATGACATCACATCACCAACACTGTACACCGCGATGCTGGAATCTTCCATTACATTCACATTTCAGCCATTCATCCTTTCCATGCCAAATGGTCGGAGCGCAAGTCGATCACACTCGGAAGCCATCAACTGACCATTGTGCACATTGATTGCAACTTTTCAGCATCTGGGATGGCCATGTCAACACCGACAGACTGGTATGCCTATAGTTTCTAGGCTCCTAGGCCTACTGGTTGTTTAAGGGGGGGGGCAGGGGGGGGCGGCGGGGGGCGAGGAACAGTTTGCAGAGTGCCTGGGGCCTTCTGGGAAAGAGCACGTTGAGTTATAGTTGAGTTATAGTTGAGTTACAGTTGGTTGAGCTATAGTTGAGTTATAGTTGAGCTATAGTTGGTTCAGTTATAGTTGATCTATAGTTGAGTTATAGTTGAGTTATAGTTGAGTTATAGTTGAGTTACAGTTGGTTGAGTTGTAGTTGAGTTATAGTTGGTTGAGTTGTAGTTGAG